ATTGTCAAATGTGACACACTGATTCATCGAACGCTGTTTTACCGTCACACGTATACAACGAATTCATGTATGTATATGAAATCGCGAACACGAGCGACCAAAATTGAGAATAACGTGTGTGCATGTGAGTGAAAACGCGCTCATCTCGTGCAGTATGTTCGATATTAGAACACTGTCAAAAGAATACGTATAACCAACGAGCACTTTGTACGATTTACGTTCAAAGTATTTGTAAAAATGCAAGCTTTTTTGTCGAGGATATCGGAACGTAATATACATCAACGGCACATTCGAGAGAGCGTTCGATGTATGTGGTGAGTGTGTGTGCGAGTGAAGATGAGTGTGTGAGAGGTAGTGAACTGTCAGGGAAATGAGTTGTTTCTCTTTCTTCTTTGTGAAATTGCCGTGGCGATGAAACATGAAAATAAAGTGTACTCTTCTCAAAAATAATCAAACATAAGAGTAATCGGTTTTATTTGAATAATCAACGGTCTTTATAAGTTAAACAAATCTATCGAAAGCGAGAAAAAAACACAAAAAATGAATCGATAGAAGCGGTAGTTGGTGAATAATAACAAAAATGTTTTGTGCTGTGCACAAAAGATATACAAGTTTGAAGTTTCAATAGAAAGTGAAAAAGAACCAAACACAAAGAAGAAGAAATATCGAAAAATAGAAAAACAATAAAATAACAATATTCCAGTGTGTGTGTCTGTGTGTACAGCAGAACCAACAACAACTGTACAAGAAAAAACTACATGATTGCCGTTGATGCTGCCACCGCCGACATCGGAAAGCGAATGCAAGATTATTTTATCTGATATAGCAAAAGTGCGATGCATAAAGATTTTGTTATTTTTCATTAGAAACAAATCCAATTGTTTAATAATTCGCGATTATTTACAATTTCATTGGGCTCCTTTCAAATTGATGAGAATATCAAACTAAAAGTCATAAAAATGAGCATAATTTTGGATGAACAAATATATACACCGAAGTCAACTGTAATCTGCGTATACCCAATGCACGAAGTAGGTTACATATATTTTTTTGTTTTGCTCAACCCATTCAATTTTTGCGCTGCATCTCTGATTGTAAAGTATTTTTTCTCTCGTAACTTTCAGTTTTATTTCAATCAACATGCAATATTCGAGAAATTTGGTAAACTTCGGTTTGTTGGTATTGAAAAACGTAATGACGTTCGAATTGGACTGATTGAATTTGAAGACGATTCGGTTGCGGATGAGCTAATATCCAAAGGTTATATGGAAATTGAAGACAATAAATGTGAAGTAAAATCATACGAAGAATTCAAACGCAAATCAAAACTAGTTTCGGATACAGTTTTACAACTCGATTGTGCGATAGGCGCGTTGTTACATCCGCCAAAACAAGATTCATGCAAACATATTTTAAATGTGCTGAATGACGATTGCTTACGAGAAATTTTCACAAAATTACATTTGTCGACATTAATGTCAGTGGCAAATGTTTGTATACGCTTCGATCGTGTTGCTAAAGAAGCATTTTCAAGCAAATACAAATCAAAAAAGATCCGTATCGGCGATTTAACGTGGGACCGTAAGCCAACAAAATCACAGGTCACCAATTTTTTCAGCAAATTCGGTTCATCAATTTCATCGGTATCGCTAGTGCACAGAAGTCCTGGCCGTTATTCAGGGAATATAAATGAAGACACGCATCTTGATTTGAGAATTATAAGCAAATATTGCAATGGGCTGAAAGAATTGGAATTTTCTGCTTATCACACACCTGAATCAACATTGAAAGAAATTTTTTTGAAATTGAAAACATTATTTGAAAGATTGAGAACACTACGTGTATACTTCATTAAGAGTAGATCGTTTTTTGAGATAATATCCGCTTGTTCGAACCTTGAAGTTTTAGACGTTCATTTTCATCTCCATGTGGAATCTTTAATTCCATCAAACAGCACATTGCCTAAATTGGTTGAAGCTACTTTTAACTGCTATGCATGTAACGCTTTAGTTTGCGAAGCTATACATAAATTTCTTGAAGTAAACTCAAAATTGAAAGTACTACGAATTACAAGTGCTGATTTCGTCTCGAATTCGGGTTATTTAAGTGAATTGAAAGAATTCGATTTTAAAGTAAATCACCTTGAACTTCAATCTATTGTGGCTACACTGAGTTCACCGAATATACAAATCGAGAAACTGAAAGTGAGCTTAAATTCCGCTTTTTACACGGAGTTGACTTACATTCCTACATTTGGAAATATTACAGAATTTCGTATGCGAAACCAGATGCCTACGTTTGATGAAATGTGGTATTTACTGGAACATATGCCAAACCTGGAGACATTTCATATTTCATATAAGTTTCATACGAAGAACGAAACACTTATGACGATCAAATCAATTTTACACCATGCATCACATTCATTGTCAAAATTGGTGTTCGAAGGATGGCAGTTATTTATTAAATCAGATAAACGTCCACATTTTTCGTTTCCCATCGATGATGTGGAGTACTATGAAATTCTGAAATCGGTTGAAGATCGTACTAGTGGCATCAAACTTACAATTCAACTCTTTTTCCATAAACTTCTTCACGATGAATATGTGAAGAATACGCAAGCAATTTATATTTTGAACACAGTCCCCAAATTTTTAACCATTGAACAACGAGTTAGCGCAAAACAATTTTTTTATCCTATTTAACAAATTGTATTAGTATTAAAAAAATGCTTATTCAGACACGTGCATTCATCAAAGCATGTGCATTCATTATATCACGTAAATTACGTTAAATAAGTGTAACGACGAATAAGTGTGATGATATTCATGCAGTCTGTCCGTGAATCGACCAACAATAATATATGCATTTTGTTCTAAATTTAAAATGATGAGTTCTCGATTCTAAAATAGTACGTGACTTTTGCAAAAGTTATTTATGATCTTGATTCTTTGTTAGTTTATCAGTTTGTCAGTTGATCACGATTCCATTTACATTGTTCTTGAATTTCGCTTACTCAGTTTTATAGTTGCATTTCAGTTTCAATTATTGTCACGTTTGTTTCATATATATAGAGCTTTTCAAATATGCTAAAATCAGTTCAGTTTCTGGAGCTAACATATGCACTTCAAGCATTTTTCAAAGGTGTCAACTGTGAACATTAAAATATGAAGTCTCTCTTCATTCTGAGTTTTATTCTCAGTTGCTCCGCAAGCAACTTCTTAATCTACGATTTGCCAGCCGACCATTTTGATGTGGCTTACGGTACGGATCGTCCAAGTAGTGAATTCGGTCACTTCCATGCGTATGTGGAAGTCGATATTGAAAGAACCCAAAGAGATGATGAGTTTTGGGTAAAAACTGAACCAGGTGATTTGCGACCAGGACAAATCCGTCAGAATTTTATACAGCCACATGGAACATACTATTTTGATGAAAATGAAAATGAAAATGGTAAGTTTGTATTGTTGTTTTACTGCACCAATCGAACCAAAATCCAAAT